TACCAAGGGCAAACTTGGCGAGCAGGTCAGTTTTGTTCGTCTGGTGCTTGTCCGGCCTGTTGACATGACACTGTGGTGAGACCTTGCTTTCCCGTCATTCGTTGCATAACATTTCATTCTCCGTTTGCTACCGGTTGTATGATCATTCTGTTTTGATAGCGTGTGACCGCCATGGTGCGAAATGAGGATGATTCGCTGTTAGCCACGGGTGACAACCATGGCAACGTCATGCTTTGGCACATTCGAGACTATGCGCTCGGGACCGAACCCATTGAGCCTGATGCACGTCCAAAGCTGTCTCGCAGCTGGAAAGCCCATGGACTGGGTGTCTCCTCCATCGTCATTGCACAAAATATGGCCGTGATTACAGGCTCAACTGACTGCTCCGTGCGAGTCTGGTCACTCCGTGGTGATTTTATCGGTACCTTTGGCGAAGGTCACACCAATCGCTGGGTTCTCAACGTGCCCGAGGCCAGCCAGGATCACCGTGATGAACTACGCTCCCGTGCTGCGGAGTTGGAGGTGGGCTTGGTGCCATTTTCTAACTGCTCTTGCGCCGGCGTGCCTGCTGATGTTTTTAGTTCCCATTTCGGTACCACCACTTTTGCACAAGTTTCCAGTCTCATGTGGGTCTGTGCGCTGACGTGGCTTCCCAACTTGTAGTCACGAGCAACATCTGCCATGACAGACGGGCCCACCCGAGGTATGCACCACATGGCTTGCAAGAACCCTACAGTCCTTTTGAACGAGTCGCTGATACTGGGCATACTTAACTTGCGTCCTTCCATCCTTGGTTCTACAGGTGCCAGTGCCGTGCCGACTATGGATACTGCCGCCGTCACAGAGAGAGAGGAATCTGAAGGTGCGCGCCGATGCGTCCTTGCCTCCCCTCCGAGACTCTGCGATGCAACAGCGTGCAAAGAAATGACTCGACGTAGCACGCATATTCACCCGACTCTTCGCGCGTTCGCCTTTCTTAGCCGAGGAAGGGGATGAGGAGGATGTCGACTTGCCCGCTGCCATTTTGGGCAAGACCCTCATGCAGCGCCTACAAGTCAAGACGAATGCCAAGGCCACGGCGCGGGAAAACGCTGGGCCATCTCAGTCTCGCCCGCTCAATCATGACGGGTTTCTCTTCTTCAATGCTTACAGCGGATTGCAGTGCACCGATTTGAAGGAAGTCAAGCCTTCGGCCCCACCCGCAAGCATTCCCGTGCCACATCATCCCCGCTCCGCGACTCGCTCTGCCGCTCGCTCAGTTGCTCAGCCCAACCCGCAAGAAGGGCAAGGAACATCTGCTGCTCAGACAGACGGAAACGTGTAGACATAATATGACCGCAAAGCTTGACCTTTGTGTTCCGCGGTACACACTAGGATCATGTGTAGCCAGCAGCTTTTATCTGCTTCTTTCATTGGCCGACACGGCCTTGCTCGCATTGCTGAGTGGATCTGCGATCCTTGTTTGTCCTTTCATCGTTTTTTTTTTCTTTCTCCTCTCGCGCTCGTTTTTGCTGAGATTCCAAGCCCTTGTAAGTTGAAATCCATCCAATCTTCCATTGGTTGAGCACGGCACCCAATGCCCCTCCCTCTTCACAAGTGTGTGATCAAAGTTGAACCAAACCACACTGTAACACACAAGGTTAAGATCGAAATTTTTGGAAAAAAAACTCAAAATCGTTCATTTCAGCTTTTTCTCGTCTTGTGATCAGATCGAAAGGCGGGTCAAAGATGTGGCGGCCACGAGTAGACCCGTGAGCTCGACATTTCAGGTTCGATAGCTACTCAAGGGGAGCATCGGCTGCCGAAGTCTCCACACCTGTATCACCCGCGAGGATGCAGCCGACGGCGACGGTTCCCACATTCCGACTCAAAGATGTCGGGCATCATCCAAGGCAGCCGCGCCACATCCGGCCAGCCAAGAAGGTGTCAGCGTACGTTGCAAACCTGATGCACAGAGATAGAGAGAGAGAGAGACCCAGCTGCGTGCTGTGACCCAAGCGCCAAGACCTTGAGGTGCTGGCCTCAGGCCATGTCTTATCTATCCTTTCCTGTGACACCTTATCATTGCGCCGCAGGGAAGCTGTCAAGGAGGTGTATCGGCGTTGGTATTCGTGGTCAGCTGTGCGCGAATCGCGGGCTCCTCTCAGTCCGCGAGAAATCCGGACATTGACGCTCGTTGTTTTTCAAAGTACGACACCTGTCTTGCCTCTTGTGGCATCTTGTGCCTCCGTTTCGGGCTACCCGCAAACGGAATCGAACCTTGAATCCGTCTCATGCAAACTATTCCTGTTGGGGCAGCTGTCTTCACGACTGTCACTCAAGCCGGCCAGGTAGCTTTTCCAGAGGTGCGCTCCTGCTTTTGTTTTACCTTCGTCAGTATGTGAAGAGCGCGGCCAGAGCAACAAGGGTCTCAAGCTCACCCATGCGTCTCCATTCTCTGGGCTCTGTAGCGTGTGGTGGCCAGCCGACGCGCCTATGCAATCTTCTTCATCTTCATGGCCTGGATCTCCCTCATTCAAGCCTTCATCGGGGTAAGACAGACGCTTGGGTGCCGTCGAGACCCTGAGGAGGCTAAAAAGCGATGCTGGCTTGAACCTGACATGCCCTCATCCCCTCATGTGCCCCGGCGCTGTGTGCCAGGTCTATACCATGAGCATCTACGAGATTGGCTCCCACCTCTTTCTTAACATCCTGGCCTCCATTTTTAGTGTCTTACAGGTAGGCAATCCGTACCAGCAGCTTTAAGTTGGTTGATGGACTAAATTTGCCGGCGTCGACCACCATGGCGTTGCCGCAAGCATGTGCCTTAACTTATGCTGATACGTGAAAAACGTGCTCGTTACAGCTTTACGAGTTGCTTGAACTGCGTGACCCCACCTACAAGGCCGAAAAACCCTTTTTAATATGTCATGTGATCATCCTGGTACGTCTTCTGGCAGCCTAATATGGACCAGCCCGTACCAGCTTCACGTATTGCAGTGCCCGACATCTGGCCCTCCTGATATGAATAATTTTGCTGTTTTCCTTAGGTGTCCTGCACCTTCTTCTACACTCTCATGTCCTCCCTACTCTACTTTGACTACGGACGAGCCCTGTACAACCGTATTGGTGCCCACCATTACGTGCGCGGTAAGGTGGTAGATGCATGAAGTATGAGGCTTGAGCTGATTTTGCTGGCTCAATGTAACTCGGTTGGTCCACTCATGGGCCTGCAAACCTCAACGCACCCCCTCCAGCCGCGTATGACAACTACAAATCCTTTGTGGTCCTGTACGCCGATGTGGCCGCGCTGCAAGTGTATGTATACAAATCAACCTTGGGCAAGCTTGTTGGCTTATCGTCTCCTCCAGAAACTTGGGCCATGCCTGACACTATCGTTGGCTGCCTGCATAGCGTGTATTTGTTGACAATCATCGGCGTATATGGGCGGGCCAATTCACCCGAGTTTGTGGCGGCACTCATCATGCTACCTGTGGCCATTGTTTCGTATCTACCCGTCATGCTCAAGGTTAGTCAGGAATTTGTCCGGCATCGCGCTCTTCTGAGCCAGATTTCAGCAGTTTGAGCTCCTCACGCCGGTACTCGGTGACTAATCCGCAGCAATTTACCAGAGACAGGCTAATCTTTGCGGCATCTTTGTTGACGGCATACATCGGCTTTTACCTCGCCATGGTAGGCAGCTGTCGTTTGCTGTGCATCAATCTGCGTCGCAGGGCGTACTCAGTGCGTGCCTCCCCTGCGCCGAGCTGGCCTAGATTTATCACCTGGACTCTCGAAAATGCTCGTTCTGTGAAGCGTATGATCGAGATACCCTTTTAGTCATTACCTTTTCGTGTGAGTCTTGCGCTGACCTTTACAAGGGTGATGCTTCGTCCCTGATGTACTTTCCTCGAGCCTTCGATGTGTCGTTGACCCAAATAGCACTGACAAGCAAATTTTCCCCCCTTTTTGCGCTTGGTGTGGCCCTCAACAACCGCTTGTCCCGGCCTTCACAGCCATCATCAACCTTTTGATGTCACTTTTTGCATTCGGCCTGGTTGTTCGAGCTCTGCGGTCCCTGGATGTGTCCACCATCCGCAATACCAGTGCGTCCAGCTTTTGCCTGCTTGAATTTTGAGCAGCAAGGCACATCTCAACCTCACTTGTTCGGCTGTGATAGTTCACCTGGCTTCGCCGTTTACGACTTCGGATTCGCGCCGGCCCTCGACCCGATCGCGATCGTATTCCAACGGTAAGCAATCATCAACCGTCGAGCTGTCGGGCTGTCGGGCTGCGACAAACCAGGTGGCTGGCCATGTACTGACTCCACCTGTTGGGCTGACGCACCATCACCACCACAGCATCATCAGCCTCGGAGGAGGGACATCGCCACAGTGAATTTCGGTGAGGCGCTGAATGACAATGCATCGATTATTTCTTGGCCAGTTAATCCAGAGCCAACAAAAATAGGAGGCTAAATTCGAACATGCGTGCGCTATTACCATAGGTTTGAGCGCGTGCAGAGCCATCGAGCACGATCATTATCTCAAGGCACACCTCATGGTCGCACTCCAAGCTTTGGGGCATCAAGTGATGCTGTGCGCATCACGATGAGTATGACAAGCAGTACACACGACCTGGCGGGTGATGGTGCCTGGGACTCACGCCCCAGCTATCGTGAGACGATGTCTGTCCAGGGCTCGACCAAGAGTGTGGAGGGCGTCAGTGTCCAGGAGTCGATGGTATAGTCAAATGCACTTGCGTCAGTTGTGCTCAATCGCGTATTATAGCGCGTGTTCAATTGCTGCCGCTCCGCGGCCTTGATGGAAAACCAAAAAAAAAAGTATGATATGATTTCTAGTGACGCCCCATTAATGTTTGGCGGCCTTGTTCGCGCAGCGAGCTGTGCTCGGCTCGGCCACTTGTGATGGCCGGGACAGTCGTGGCCCAAAGGACGACCGGTGGGCTCTGAATCGGTGGAATTGAAAGTAAAAAATAAAATAAAATCAGACTTTTAAAAGTCAACATCCTGAGTGATTGGCGGTTGAAAGCATCTGGTACATATCACCGTTTATCACCGGGAAGCGAGGCCATTGCTGCGGGTCCGGGAGTGGACGTGTTGGCTCGTTGTACCCAGTGTGAGACGCAGAGATGATTGGTTTCTTGTTGCTGAGATAGTTGCCACGGCAGGGCTGGGCCGTCTGAGGCGCTTGACAGGGAGGCAAACGCAAGTATCTCACCTCTATCCCCAACATGGCCCGCTGAGTGTGCGCTCAGCTCTGGCGTGCTGCTGCTGTTGAGTAGAAGGGGTGATGTCAGGTCTTGAGGCAGAAGTGGTGAGGCTGTTCTAGTTTGGGAAGGTGGATCTGTTTGCAGCGAGTGTTGGTCCGAGGTTCTGGCGTGAAAAGCAGCAGCGGGACCCGCTGCTCGGCGCGCGTCCTCGCGTTCATGAAGCACGTCTAATGCATCCTGTACAGCAGCTTGAGTGTCGCTCAGATTTTCTGCTGGCGTCAAGTTGGATGGGCCGGCGACTGAGCCGTGCTGAGCATGAAGCGGTGAGGAAGCGGACCCGACATAGGTGCCCATGACCGCTGTGAGTGCATACAGCACGTCGTCTTGGGTATTGCTCTCGTCTACTTCGTTGTTGGCCAACGTTGGGGGGTCACGCTCGGGTTGGCTCTTTTTTGAAGAATCAGGAACCAACGATGCCCTTGAGTGTGGCGCTGGGACTTTCGAGTACCGTCGAGTGAGGGCGCCACGAGCGGCAGCGTTGACGGCCTGGCCCTGGGCGTGATTTAGGCGCAGGGGCCGGGCGTCCCCAATGGGCAGCAAGGACAAGCCGCCAAGAAAATGAAGCTTATTTATCACCATGATCAGCAGCGCCAGCTCAGGGTCATAAGTGAGCACGTAGTCCACGAGTAAGGCACAGGTCCCGCAGAGAGCAGCATGCGATCCAAAGCGGGAGCTAGCCATCTACAAGGGTCGGCCACCAGCGAGCCATGCCATCTTGAGACGCACAGAGCCAAGTTCCGACAAGCAGACGAGCCCTGTACCTTGAGTTGATTTTCGGCTGCGCCAGTCAAGACGGCCAGCCAAACATGGTCGCCATCGCCGAGGTAATGGTATTTCTACATCAAGCAAGACAGGGGTCATGTGATATTGACGCAACGTACGTAGAGGATCGATCGGGCGCCATGTCGATGGCCCCCCCGTCCCTGAAGATCCCAAGGTCACGCATACCCACCGTGTTTGGCTCATGGCTCAGATACTGTGCTCGCAACGGCTGAGGTCTCAATGGTTGTCCCTCTAGACACGCATTAATCAACGATGCCAACTGCGGCCGACCAAGAAAAGCTGCCATCACCCCCGCTTCACACGCAAACCCAGTTCGCCTCGCCTCCGCCTCGACTCCAAACCCCCTCTCGCACTCAACTATCCCACACCCAAAAATCCGTATTCGAATCCGAGCCCCCTTCCAGTCCACCCGCCCTCACAGCCGCTCAGCCGCTCAACCGCTCAACCGATCACCTCCGCCCTCCACCACACACACGCCCTCCCCGCACCTCCACCCCATAACGGTCAACTGATGTCAATGTGCTGACATGTGTGTGTGTGTGTGTGTAATGTGTGTGTGTGTGTGTGTGTATGTGTGTGTGTGTGTGTGTGTGTGTGTGTGTGTGTGTGTGTGTGTGTGTGTGTGTGTGTGTGTGTGTGTGTGTGTGTAATGTGTGTGTGTGTGTGTGTATGTGTGTGTGTGTGTGTGTGTATGTGTGTGTGTGTGTGTGTGTGTGTGTGTGTGTGCGTATGATGTGTGTGAGGTCATTTGTCATCATTTTGACTCGCTCTGTGTGTGTGTGTGTGTCTTGTGTCGCGCGCGTGCCACACACGCATGCATGGACAAGACACGCCCCCGCCGTGCCTGCCCATTTTTCCCGGTTTTGTCGTGGCGTGGTTGCCTTGATTTAGCAGCAAAGTGGCTGTTGGGGGTGTGTGGGTGTTGATGTTGTTGTTCTGGAAGGGTCGGACTCGGGGCTGCGTGGGGGTTGCTGCATCAGGATTTTAAATTGCTTTCGACACGAGTTGGGATGGTGGTCTTTGTACCATACCAACCAGAGGCGGTTGCCCAACTGGTTGATAGCCTGCCAGAAGAGGAACAACAGGCCGTCCGCGAATTTCGCCTCGCGCTCCAAGAGGTATTGTAGAGTGCTCCGTGTGCCTCGCTGCTGTGTCCCATCGCCGCAGTCCACAACCAAGACAGACTGCTCCACTGACCCGGATTGGTCAACATGTAGGAGGGCATCGAGGCGCCCGATGACCTGTGCCTGCTGCGATTTCTCAGGTATGTTCTCTTCTAGGAATTGTACAGATCTTGAGCAATTGCCCGGCCCAGCTGATGTCCGACTGCTGGGTGCAGGGCACGCAAGTTTAAGCTGCGCAAAGCGCTGCGCCTCTACTTGGAAGCCAAACAAGTTGTGGTATGTGTTTGCTTGCGCTCGCCAGATCGCAGATTGAGCAAGAGCCAATAAGACTCGACGCCATTTAACTCAACTGCTGCCACGCAGGAAGACAACAATTACGATTTACTGTTTGAGCATCATCGCCCCTCGCCCTTGGAGCTCAAATACTGGGCACATGGATTCTATGGCATTGATCGCGGTGGATGTACGTTGCTTCTTCCCTCTCCCCCCCCCCCGG